AGACCCCCGTAAATACACCCCATTAGCAATATCAATCACCGTCTATCATGTCCAACAGTAGCTACATCAACGCACTAGTACGCTCTCTCTACGAGGAGAGCCAGGAGCACAACGTTAGCACGTTAAGCATGTTGTTTCTCCAATACGCTTCTAATACAGTACAGTACCGTCGTACGGTATCTGCTGCCCCTACTACTATTCAAAATATGGTACACGTGTACTGTACCCACACACGGTACGATACCCCCAAACCAACAAGCTCCATACCGATTTCCCTCCCCTGGAGAGCTGGTTTAAAATAGTCAATCAATTCTGCAAATATGGTATGTACGCCATCCGTCGCAAGTGAAACAGATATCATGTTGTCATTGGACGCAAGTTCGACAAAGCATCACTTTAGTTCGTACTCTTCACTGTATCTTAGCTTTCAAATAGGCACAAAAGTCATCGATCTCATTGAATAATGGAAGATACTACTGCAAAGAGCAACATAAGCAATGAAGACGATGACCAGTCGATGCAACCTCCTTCCGCAATGCTGTCTCTCCTGGACAAGTATTCCAGGATGGAGGCCCAAATGACACATGTGCGTCAAGAGACCACGCGAATTCAGTTAGAGATTCAGGCACGAAATTCTAGTGCTGAAAAGCTTTCGGAAGAACGCCAAGGGATGATTGTAGAGCAAGAACGTTTCTCCAAAGAAACAAAGATCCTCCAAGAAGACGCCAAGATAGCTCGTCAAAAGCTAAATTCAATCCAACAAGAGGCACTGCAAGCAAAACAAAGGAAGGAAGAAGCGCGGCGAAACTTGGACAGACTAGAAATGCAATCGAAAGAATATCGACGACGGTTCTTCCATTCCTCACAATCCTTTCGGAACGAGTGCAAGAAACGCAAAATTACCTGTCAAGCATTGGGATTGACCCATGCACCTTTGGTTGCTCATGCGATGGTATTTCAGCCTCAAATGTTTTCCTCTTTTCATAATATCAATAACCCAGACGAAATCCAGAGCGAGAACCAAGATGGGGAGCACAGTTGTCTAATTAAACAACTGAAGGCGTTGGAAGCATCTCATTCAGCTTCCAAACAGCGACGGGAACAACTCAAAAAACAAAAGGACGACCTTTTGAGCCGATCAAGGGATCGACGTCAACGAAAAACTAGTCTTGAAGCACAGCTGGGTCGTATTTTGAAGGATATTGACATGCTCAATAGTCGAATCCAAGGCGAGAAGCGACCTACTACTATTTCCACTCAGGCCGTAACAAATTCGAATTCCACTTTTGTACTTCCAGCAGCACGTGAGTTGTACAACCTTTAGATTCAATGATCGATTTTACTTTCCACATCTAACCAATCACGTCTCGTTCTTTTTGGAAGGAACTACTGCAGGAGATGCCAGTAAGATACTTTTGAACAATCCGTACGCAAAATGCAATCGAAAGCAATCACCGCCATCATCGTTGTCAAGTACTAAAGCAATGAATCCACAGCGAAAATCGAGTGCCAAAGGCTCTGACGCTACCACAGAACAATATCCTCATAGAGTGGGGCGTCAACGAGCTCCTCGGGATTTTGGACTGTCTCTGCGCATTGAAGACGGCACTGATGATTCGGATGATGATGATTTACTATCATTTGTTGTCTTTCGCAAGTAATCATCGTGAATTTTGGAAAACCTGAATTTTTTGGAATTAATTTTTTTGATTCTCAACTCCTCGTTTGATCCACGGGCGTTGATTGTCACAATGTACAAACTAGACCACTAGAAAATTTCCGCAATGTCTCAATGTTGAGTCAAGATGATATCCACCAACCCAAGCTAGACAACCCGACACAACATTCCGATCGTAGAAAACGTGTCTATTGTTCTTCACACATTTCACACATAAGTTCAAACACAACTGAAATAACAGAGAGTAGGGGAGTACTATTGAATAGGAAATTCAATGGATACCCACATAGTCGGCAGATGTGCTCGAATGGATCAATCATCAGTAACACGTCCAATAATCTTCAAGCTCTAGTCTATTCCGGGTTTTGATATTGATGTATGCTAATATGACAAGCAAGCTTGAGATACAGATTCCTACCCCGTATCAAATCATTGCGACCCACCACCACAAGACACTAGCTCGTCGATACCTTACTATGACTTAGAAGCTTGTGCAGTCTCTTCGGTGCGAAGAATTTCGGCAAACGATCCGTGACCCCATGTGGGAGGTTTCACATCGACGTCAGACACCAGATCCATTCTCAATTGACTTTTTGTAGGAGGTCTAGTGTTCCTCGTTGCTGAAGATGCCTCGATTTTCTTCTTCTTTTCAGTTTGTAGATTGCTTTGTAAACGGGTTTCCTGATGACTATCTTTCACTGATAGTGTTGCCACTTTCCTCAAGGCTGCTGCATACCCTCCCATTGAAGTCTCTAGCGGTGGACTCTTGGAAGATGAAGTGCTCGTCGTAGCAGTGGACGATGAATCTGAGTTTGCAGAGCCTTTTCTGCCAAGTTCGTAGTGTGTTGGGACCTTTTCCACTTCGACTTTATTCGAACAGGATTGTGAAAATTCACTTGGGAGGGGAGGAAATTGCCCACCTCCAAGGCTGAGAAGAGGGAATGCCATAGACGACCCTTTCTTACCAGCTGACTTTCCGTTGGTCTTGTGCTCCGAATCGTTCGACTTTGTTCCGTTTCCTCGTCGACGACCTGAGGTGCTGGTTTTTCCTTTAGTTACCGCAATAGTAGCATTTTGTGAATTGTTGGTAATGTTGTTTCTCGACTTGCCATTCTTTCTTTTCTTGTTTTTCCTGCTGTTGTTGGAACGAACCGAATCGGTTTGTGCCGGCAGAGAACTGTAGAAGGCAAGCGGTGATGCCAGAGCATCTCGGTTCATTACAACACCGGACTTCACTCTGGCTTTGACTAATTCTCCCGATGGATATTTCGCCTGTCGAAGCGCCAACATTACTTCCAACATTTCGTCCCTGGAAATAGTATCCAGTGTCACAAACCTGTTGTGTTCAAAAGTCAATGAGTGAGGATGGTAAGATAGGAAGTTGCCACACCCTAAGACAACGTTCTCGACATACCAGCAATTGGCAACATCTTTGTACATGTTTTGGATCGATGGACATTTCTCAAAGGTGAAAAGTCTCCTAATGTCAGACTCTTGCATCGTGTTTGGTACCTCGCGAAGAACCACAGTATTCTGAATAGCAGGAGAAGTATGTGCAACAGGAACTGTCATATTGGAGTTTGTAGAACCTACCGATGTCATCATAGCTGTTTTCGCAAATAACTTGGAAGTTGGGATCGGTTCACCACCGATTGGACCGACCGCCTGCACAAACAACGTCCCTTGGTCTTCTTTACAAGAAATACGTTTTCCAGTAGTAGATTCAATCTGGACTACTTCCAAAAGGCCACTGTGTTCTTCCGATGCACGGCGAACTGCCTCCGCAGAATCGTATGGAGCCAGCGACCTTACTTTGCCAAAGTTTGCGATGATAGTGACAGGAACATATCCATCGTTCAAAGATCTCAATGTAGAAACATAGGTATCCTTGTTCAAGTTGGTTGCAGAAAAGTAGTATTCCACCTGTCGAGCCAATTTCTCCAGTATTTCGGTGCTTGGCTCTGTTCTCTGAAACATCGTGTTTGCTGGACCCTTGGGGCAATCAAAGGCTTCAATTGGGCCTGTTTCTTTTTGATTCGACGATATCTTCCCCGGCCATTCTTCAGATGATTTGGATTCTGCCATTTCTTGTTCCAAGGTGGCTGCTATTGGATTCAACCTAATAAAAAGGATAAGTTTGGGGCGATCTGCTGATTTGATTTGATGATGTGCGTCCTTTCGTTGATGCTTCCGATCTGAATGATGACAACAGAAAGATGAGAAAACGAAACGTCGGATCTCGTAGATGTACGATGAGGTTGCAGCACAGGCTCAGTTCAACCTACAAATCCGTTGTATACGTGTAACATGAAACACATGTAATGAATCTTCGTCTTGCGCCTGCTCGTTGTACGTCGTCACCGAAGATATCGATCGACATGTCTGATTCAATGTCCAAAACGACGTATATCAGACAAAATTTTGTTGGCCGGGAAAGATCGCCGGCGCGGCAAAGAATCATTTTCAAAATCAGGGATATCCCGCAGTTTTCTGTGAAGCCAGCTTTCTCTTTTTTTTGGAGAGTCGATGTGGTCATTTTCACCCTCTTCTGCACGAAACTCCAAAAATCGACTTTCACTTATTGCCTGTCAGAAAGAAACTTCTACGACAAGGAATTTTATAAATGTTCACAATGCCGTTAAGTGTTCAACTTCATTCGCCAGATTAAGTTTTGAAGTTTGTTTTATTTTCACAGCAATTGCGGAACATCTGTAATGACCCCCAAAAAACCTGTAAATTTTTCACAGAAGTTTCGGAACATCTGTGAAAAATTCACAGAGATTTCGGAACATCTGTGAAAAATTCACAGAATTTTTGACTCAGACGATAGAAAATTCACAGAATTTTTGACTCAGGCGATAGAAAATTCAACTCAGAAGACGGTGCCAACTTAACCGTTTTTTTCAAATTTGGTCACGCTTGCTGAAGAGAAAACGCAAAGAGAGTTTCAGAATCTTTCAGGATGATGCTTGGAATCGAAGTGACACCAGAACAGGTGCTGATCTACGGATTTGAAATTATTGGGGATTCACCTACCACGATTACTGATGACGACTTCAAGGAGCATAATATTGGAGTTTTCAAGGCTCATTTTGGCCAACGCCCCACTGGCCAACGCCCCAGCACTCTATGCATTCTCTGGCAAGACATTTTGAATTGTACGAACAAAGACTTGAGGCTCCGCCCATCTGACAGGAGCAAGGAGGAGCTTAAGCGATTGCTAGTTGCAATCCACTCCCTTGCCTCAGCTACTGGGATAAGCACACAAAGGGACCAAGACGACAACCTATGGCACTGGGTGAAAGTTCTTTGAGCACTGGAAGCAAAGGTGATCAGCTGGTCGGAGAAAGAGTACAAACAAAAGAACTATGGTCCAGGGAGAAAAATTTTCTTGAATAAACTAGATCCATACCTTTTTACCTACCTACACTGTGTGACTTTGCCTACAATGTGTGACTCTGGTTTTTTACTGCGATAACGTTTTTCTAACAGCAATCTTTTTCCGCAGTCATTGTTGTGCAAATCGATGACGCATCAAGTTGTTCCGTTAGTTTGTTTCGGAACATCTGTGAAAAATACACAGAGATTTCGGAACATACATAGTGCAGCCATAAATGTTATATTTCCTAGCTGAACCCACCATTCGCCACAATTTCGACATTTCGGAACATCTGTGAAGACCCTTAAAAAACCTGTGAAAAATTTACAGAAGTTTTGGAACATCTGTGAAAAATTCACAGAGATTTCGGAACATCTGTGAAAAATTCACAGAATTTTTGACCCAGACGACCAAGCATTGCTTGCGAACAACATTAACCGTTTTTCCCTCTACGGAAGTTGTATGGTGCTTTTACGAAAGGGCATGCGTGCACACATGTCAGCTGAACGTCTGTTGAAACTTCACAACAATTTCGGAACATCTGTGAAGACCCTTAACGGTCCGTCCGCCGCTCAACAGATCATTTTCATACTCATTTGTCGGAAGACTGCTGATCCAAGATTTTTAACCCCATACAGACCTACAATCAAAATTTTCTGCGTACAAATGTTTTAGTTTGGGTCCTTAGCTTTCATCCCATTGGGTGAGCACCTCTCTGCTATGCTCTAGAGAGCTGCTGTAGCGCAAAATGTCAATAAATCCTTTGGATAGCAATCAAAAGGAGCTGATAACATTGTGCTAAAGCGACTCACTAGAGCATAACAGAGAGGTGCTCACCCAATAGGATGAAAGCCAAGGACCTAAGCTAAGACATTTGTATGGGGGAAATTTTGATTTTAGGTCTGCATGGGGTTGTCCTGTTGAGCGGCGGACGGACCGTTAAAAAACCTGTGAAAAATTCACAGAGATTTCCGAACATCTGTTGGTCATTCACAGAGATTTTGGAACATCTGTGAAAAATTCACAGAATTTTTGACTCAGAGGACAAAAAGAATAGTCAATTAGGGGAACTATCTGTAATTTAATGAACTACGACCAAAACGCGACGATCACCGACCAAGAATGAATTCCACGAGCAGTGATGATGTCGGATCACAGATCCCCGTGCAGAAGGAGTGAGCAAGCCGGTCAGGCCCCGATTCCGGTTCAGATTCACACCAAAATGCGGAATATCCCAGATGAATTCATCATCTGGAACAAAAGGGAGTATTTTCTCCAACAGCAGAACGACACTGTGCTTGGAACTCTCATCTACTATCGATTACAGTACCCAGCAATACCTCACAATGATCACTAACCAAAGAAGAACACTCGCAGTAATACTATCCCTCCTATGTATGCTTTCCCTCGCTTCAGCAAGTCCAGTAAGTCTTGATTGGTTTTCGAATGAATCATTTTTTGTGACGGCTTCCCTCATCTTGCCGATGATTTCATTTCGTCAGACTGGTATTGCCAAGATAGACGACGTTATCCAATGGTTCGTGTCATTCTGGGAAGTCCGGTCAACTATTGAAAAAGTCTTCCTGTTTTGGGGTGGTCTCATGTTGTTTGGTGGACTCACTGGTTTGGATGGAGGCAAACATGAGGTTTACGATATGGTAAGTCCCAAGAGTTTCCTTGGCGTGATATTTATGATCATTATGATCATTTGCTAATCGATCATCTTGCCTGCTAGGTGGTTCTGGACTCGGCATCGCACGAAGACAATCCCAGAGTCTTCTTTGATATCAAAATTGGAGAAAAGAAAATCGGTCGCATCACTATGGAACTCTACGAGAATATTGTACCCAAAACAGCCGAGAACTTTAGGGCCTTGTGCACTGGCGAAAAGGGTGTAGGAGAAAGTGGTGCCAAGTTGCATTACAAGGATTCCATTTTTCATCGCGTGATTCCAGGCTTTATGTGCCAAGTAAGGAGAAAAAAGGAAATTTTTTTGGTCCTCCTTCATTAGCATTTTGGAACTCTAACATTTTTTGCCTTTCACAGGGCGGAGACTTTACAAACGCGAATGGAACTGGAGGAGAGTCCATCTATGGCAAGAAATTTGAAGACGAATGGGGAGAACCACCAAAGTTCATCCCTCACGAAGTACCTGGTATGCTCTCAATGGACAATTCTGGAAAGAATACTAACGGGAGCCAGTTCTTCTTGACGACGGCTGCCACGAAATGGCTCAATTGCAAACACGTAGTCTTTGGACGGGTCATTGATGGTATGGACATTGTTAAGGTCATTGAAGAAGTCGGCTCCAAATCCGGCGCTACAAACCAACGAGTTCTAATTGCGGACTGTGGAGAACTCACCAAGAAATCGAAGACCAACTAAGTAGCGCATTGCTTTTTTTTAAATTCTAGACTTCCCTGCACGTTCACCACAAAAGAGCCAACAGTTAAAAACAGTAGTTTCGTGCTATTTTAGCCACGGTCAAAATTGTTGAAGTTTTCCAACCGTCGCATCATAGCTATAAGATCCCCAAGAATGAAAAGGTCACACAAGTTGGTTTGTATTACTATCTACTATCTGTAGTTCGACTGGTCTATTAACATCCTGAGACGGCTCCACAGGAGCAAGGCCTCTGGATTGGGCTTTGAATCAATAAAGGTAGTTTTATACGAAGTTGGTTGATAAGTAATCGAATTAATGAATTGTGAGATTATCACTACTTGAAACTACTTGGAAAGAGTTGCTGCATCGAATCTCTAAGAGAGCTAATGAGATTCGAAGAGAGCTAGAGCATCGTTTCAGTCGTGACTGGAGTCCCAGCTAGCGGAGTACTGAAGGCGTCTGTGCGTCAGTACGTCTACTGAGAGCCCAATATTCCAGCACCCCCTCTCGCCGAGCTATGCAGGTAGCGGGAGATGCTTACCAGCCAATTAACCATTTCCTATGCTTGATAAAGAGTTCAACGGCCAGTGGTTTTGTCAGTATATCAGCTGGTTGATCCTCAGTATCAATAGGATGAATGGTAATCTCCTTCCTCGTTACATATGACCTAAAGTGGTGCAGTTTTGTGCAGAGGTGTTTTGTCCTGGGTCTCCACTTGTGGATTTTTGCCATTTCCAATGCTCCACTATTGTCTTCAAAGACTCTGCAATGGACTTTTGGGCGATGATCCAGGACAGGGATTCCATACCTCTTCATTTCCTTGAGTAGGTTCATGAGGGGAATTGCTTCACGCAATGCATAACTGAGACCAGTGTATTCGCTTTTGGTAGAGCTCAAAGCGATTTTGGTTTGTGATTGACTTTTGTGAATTATGGGAACACCGGCGTACGTGATGACGTAGCCATGACGCGATCGTGCCGTGTCTGGATCATGTCCATAGCGTTCGTTCCAGTTCCCACAAAAATCTGCATCAACATACACCTCAAATGATTTTCTCAAGTCCGGTTTGATGAACATTCCCTTATCTGCCGTGCCTAAAA